GACCAATTCGCTCGGACACCCGGTATAATATTTTCGCTTGTTAAACGTTAGGTTGCCTTGATTCACTTATCTGGGCGATCTACGTTTTCATTTACGCGATTTTCTTCCGCGCTTGTTCTCCGGTCCGTTCTCTACAATGTTTACTACAGCGTTGGTTCTTTAACTCAACTAAACATAATAATTATCTCGCGCTCTATCGATGAAGAGAATTATATTTGGATTTGCGCTTCACATATATTTTCGCGAACTCAACTTATTATTTTAAACTTATTACTAGTCATAACAATAATTTTTTTTGTAAATAACATTATCCATCTAAAATAGGCTCTATCCTTAGATTGAATAACAAACTTAAATTTTTCGTCAAATAACCTAACTATATTAAATCAATCATTATTCGGGCTCGTGCTTTTTTAGGCCCTTACTGTTGGTGACTCGTGCCATGAAGTCGGGAATTCGCTTCCGGCTTCAATATACTTATGCCAACGTTTTTTCCAATCCTCGAAACAATTGTTAAAGTCGATTTCCGGAATGGCCTTCAAAGCTTTCTTCGATTTAGCTTGTATCTCTTCAATCGAGTCAAAACGGTGTCCCCGGAGCGGTCTTTTGAGTTTAGGGAATAGCCAGAAGTCACACGGTGCTAAATCAGGAGAATATGGTGGTTGTGTAACGATATGGGTCGAATTTTTAGCAAAATGGTCTCGAAGAACCAATGCAGTGTGAGATGGCGCATTATCGTGGTGCAAAAACCAAGAGTTGTCTTTCCACAATTCCAGCCTCTTTTTGCGAATAGCTTCACGCAAACGACGCATAACACTCAAATAATATTCCTTGTTAACAGTTTGGCCCGGCGGAAGGAATTCATAGTGCACAACACCACGATAATCGAAGAAAACTGTCAACATCACTTTGATTTTTGAGCGACTTTCGCGCGATCTTTTCAGCCTTGGCTCACCTTTTGCACGATATTCGCTCGATCGATCGGTTGTTTCCGGGTCGTATGCGTAGATCCAAGTCTCATCTCCCGTAATAATGCGTTTCATGACCGATTGATAATCAGAAATCATCTCCTCACAGATTTTAACACGAGTCCGAGAAATTGACGCACGTTTTTCTGATTGCGCGGTCTCGGAAAATTTTTCACGGCCTCGAGTTTTTTTGGATCAGGCTTGACGCCATCTTCGCCAATTACAGCCATTGACAAAATTATTAGGCACCTTATTTATTTAACAATTTCTTCAATTTATAAGGAAATAAATAACACTATCTTTATAAATGTTATCATTTATTTCTTAAATAATCATATAAACTAATATTTGCTTGGTCCGCCATTATTTTTTATGACTTCTGCTATTCTTTTAGGTAAGCTATGTACTAATCTTTCGCATATAGTAGGTGATATTTTCTCCCATTCTTCGAAAATCGCTTTCTTGAGCTCAGTAATTGAAGTGCACTTGCGAGCGCGGACATGTTTCTTCAAATGAGCCCATAGATGCTCAATTGGATTGAGATCTGGACTCTGTGGTGGCCATTCAAACAGCTTAATCGTATTTCGCTTAAACCACGCAATGCTCTTACGTGCAGTATGACAGAGAAATGCACACTAAACAGTTTTGTACATATTATCATTTCTCTAAGAAACTTATATGCCTCAGTTGCTTGACCTTCTCACAAAGTCAGTAGCATGAAAACAACACGCAAATAGAGAGCTTATGCACATTCAGTTGTGAAAAATTTAGAAAAAGCAAGGGTGCCTAATAATTTTGTCAATGGCTGTATCTTTTAAAATGTTGTTGACTGATCCTTTTGAAATGCCAACAGCATCAGCAAGGTTCCTAATTGTTAATCGACGGTTGTTGAGCACCAAATCTTTGATTTGTTTAACGTGACTTTCATCGGTAGAGGTTGATGTTCGTCCGAGGCGCTCTTTATCTTCAACTCGTTCTCGGCCTTCTTTGAACTGTTTATACCACTTGTAAGCATTTCTTTCCGACAAAGTCTGCTCATCAAAGGCTCTCTGCAACATCCTAAACGTTTCTGCACAAGAAATTTCATTTCGCAAACAAAATTTAATCCAACTTCTTTGCTCAACAAAATCACACATTGTAAAAATCGGAAAGAACACTTTTTGCGTCGTAAAAAATCAAGCGCAGCTGAAACACTAATGTCGTTTATGATGTGAAGTTTGACACAGATGTTTGTCGAATTTCGAAAAAAAATATTTCTCACATTCGATATATCAGCGCAATTTAAATTGAAAATTGGTCTTACTTTTTGGACACAGTAGTATTAACATCTTTATAATATATGATGCTTGATGGTAGTATCAAATTATTAAATTGCTTGTCAATTTAATTCGCGATTGCTAGAGTAGTTTTGTCGGATTTTATGTTCTACTTTATATTTTACTTGTATTACCGGCCGGACAGCGGCGCGGAGTTTTGTTCCGAGAGAGTATTGGTGGCACGACGAGCAAAGTAAGATGGCGAAATACAGAGATTGAGAGAAGACGTGCTTCGTACTCGAGGGTTCCCAAAAGTGAAATCCGGCGAAATATTTAAAATTATACAAGTTTTAATTGCGTTTATTTAGTCCGGAAAAATAATTCGGCGCGCAGTTTGAAAAAGACTACAATATGATATATATGTAAGTACATATACAGGGTGTAAAAAAATTAGACTGACAAACTGTGAGGATAAATAAGGGACATAAAAACAAACATATTTTGTTAATAATGTTTTCTTCTGCGACGTTTTGTTTTAATGCTACAGGGTAAAAGTAGGAATTTTTTGATTTTAACAAAAAACAAACATATAAGTGGAATAATTAAATTTATGGGGACTACATACGTAGTAAATAAATTCACATAAGAATCATACAAGCATTAAGATCCAACTAGACCGTTTAAGGCTTTGATTTCTATAGTTCGTGTTATCACATGTACGGTCCTATAATATATTATATTAATTAAATTTCTTTCAATTACACATATATATTTTAATCTTCAAAAAACAATGAACAAAAGGACGGAACAAAAATGTAAATGATTAACTCAATTTATAATAAATGTTCAAAAATTCCTCCATTTGCTTCAACACAAATAGGACATCGTCGAAACATTAATTGTCTCACACGCTCAAAGACTGCAGGAATATTCTGAACCTGATATGCTGCAGCAGTAATTCGGGCTGCGATTTGAAGAGCAAGTTTTGACAGAGAGAGAAAACAATGCTTCCACTAGTACACGTGCAATTATAATGATATAATTGACACCTTTAATTCATATCACCCTAGATTGAGATTTACGACAGTGATGCACATTTGGCTCCCCGGCAACACGGAATCCAGCCCCACCACTTGTACCTCTACTAAGCAGATACCTACCGGCATCGAGTCGGCTGTCTTCGCCGCGAGAGCGAGCGAGACAGCGAGAGGCAGCACCTGTCCTTCTCGCTCTACCAGTAACTCGTAAACACAAGCGAGTATTAGAGCTCTAATGTTTACGAGTTACTGGTAGAGCGAGAAGGACGGGCGCTGCCTCTCGCTGTCTCGCTCGCTCTCGCGGCGAAGACGGCCGACTCGATGCCGGTAGGTGTCTGCTTAGTGGGGATACAAGGGGTGGGGCTGGATTCCGTGTTGCCGGGGAGCCAAATGTGCAACACTGATTTACGATGGAATATGGGGTGGAATCATTGAACTTCCTAGATAAGCCTAAAAAAAGAAGATAAACACCTTATATCTGATTGGTATCGCAAACCAACATTCTCGGGTCGTTTTTTGAACTATTTCTCTAGACATCCTTTCTCTCAAAAAATAGGAATAATTATAGGCTTAATTGATAGAGTCTTATTGTTGTCACATCCATCAAGGTACCATCAAGAAAATTTTGAGTTGGTTATTGAATTACTCTTAGAAAATGGTTATCCGTTAAAATTAATCTTCACAACGATTAAAAAGAGATTATATAACAAGTTTCAGCAATTAAACAACCAAGAACATACTCAAAGAACAATGGATGATGATAAAAATGAGATTCAGAGATTTTTCACGATACCTTTTATACCAGAGATATCTGATAAAATAAAAAATTTTGTTAGTAAAGTACCAGGAGTTAAAATGGCTTACAAAAGCATCAACAAATTAAAACAATTCATTAAGGTTCAAAAAGACCCCCTTCCAAAGTTTTCTCACTCTAATGTTGTCTACAAAATTGAATGTAAAAATTGTGATGCATCCTACGTAGGGCAAACTAAGAGGTGTTTGAAGACGCGTATATCGGAGCATAGAAGTCATATTAATAGGAGCTCGACACAGTCCTCGGTGATTACTGACATAGACTTGAGACTTCTCATGAATTTGATTGGGAAAATGTTAGAATACTTGATGAGGAAAAAATTTTAAACAAAAACTAATGTCTGAAATGATACACATTAGAAGACAGAAACAGGGTTTGAATTTGCATAATGATAGGTCAACTCTTGACCCGTTATATGTGGATTCATTTAAGAATAAATAGATCTTTTTTAGCTTTTACATTTATAGAAAGTTTATAATTATGGGTTTTTATTTTAAATCTAAATTTTAAAGGTTATTTTTATAATTTTTTTATTTGTATTTTTATGTTTATCATTTAATTTTTATTGATTATTTATTATTTTTGTTGTTTTTATTTTTCAGTCTTTATTTTTTATGTATTTTACTTGATAATTTTTAATTTTTAATTTTTATTTTTTATTTATTATTTACTATTTAGTTATTTTTTATTCTTGATTTGACTGTGATTAAAAAACCGCTGATAAAATTAATTTCACATATTGGACCATGTATTGTTAAGTCAGAATATGCGAGCACTTGAAAACTTATAAGGATATAAATTAATTTTCAACCTTCTTTTTACTACAATATAGACACAGACTTTAGTGACTTTAAAAATGTATTAACTTTACTATATAGGACTAAGTCAAAATTTATTTGTATTTTATTGTGTTTAGCATAAAAATTTTTAATCTATTATAATAAGTCATCTTGTGACAAAACAAATTTGTGTTACTGTACCGATACGATTTAATAAGCTTATAACTGTGACTGTACCAATATTATTGGATTGTCTTTAGACGTGACTTTGCTCTCGGTTTGGCGATTTTAAACACATTGTCACATTCGCAGGCTAACGTTCAAGCTAACAACATCAAAGTTACTCGCCTGCTATGTAAGATTTTCGTAGATAATTTTCATTAAATCAAATAGTTCAATAATATCAAATAGTGTTATTATTTAAAATAAAAATAAAAATATATAATAACTGTTCTTTATAGTGAAATTGCCAGTTCGGTAGTGGAGTTAACGTTGATGAGATATGTAATTAGTCAAGTTCAGCGTTACATGTAAGTTATATAATCCTTCCTTTTATAATATATTAATAATAAGATAATAACATACATATAATTCATTTATATAGCAAATCAATCAATTTGATGTACATTATTAGAACAAAGGACACATTCTGCAATTTATGTTAGCCTTAAGACAATATTCATAGCGTTTAATATATTTTGTACTGAAGAGGACCCGAAGCGAGGGTCGAAACGTTTACCAATTAATGTAATTCTTCGAATAAAGTTTTTCTACACATGAACATCCAGTGTCGGCTCATATAGGCATTACTTTTTGATGTTATAAATTTATTTAAGTACTTCAGATCACTGAGAGGATTACGGTCAGCAATATTTCTAAAAGGTTTCAGCTATTTCCATAACTTCTTAGTAATATTTCAAGAAGATTGCAGATTCTTCCTGTAACATTTTAGCAACCTTTTAACAAGGTTTTATGTGTAAGAGTCGCTGACATTTTGCCAGAGCTGTCTCAGAAATGTTGCAGACGTATTTCGCAACTTTTATGGAACGTTTTACTTTTCTCGGTTGAAATATTTCTGAAATATATCTGAAAATTTTCGGTGCCGTATGGGATATATGAGAAAATATCAATCAAAAACTGTGACAACCGGCCTCGGTCTCCCCTATGGTATAAATAAATGTCTAAAATAAAAAAAAATTAGTTTGTTTTCACAATTAATTGTTCCTCCTTTCCATTCTTCTTCGGTATTGTATTACGCGCGCGTCATCACGCGCGACACCATCGCATGCGATTGTATCATCGCGCTCTTACTAAGCGTCCGATTTACACTCTTTGAATAATTAAATAAATAAAATAAAATAATATAAATATTATAATATAAATAATAAATAAATAAAAATATTTGCGTGCTAGAATAAGATGGCAGTAGAAGAAGAGACGGTACGTATAAAATGTAATTATTAGAAGAGACGGCAAGTATAAATGGTAATTATAAAATGGTAAATAAAGCGCGCGGTGGGAAGACCGTGCCCGGCAGCCGCTGACCCCGCGTGACATCAACACTGCGACGCGGACCTTGCAACGCAAGTTTTCGCACATCTTACGCCCGTCTCTGCTACGTAATTTTCCCGCAAGAGTGACATCACTCTCTTCCTTCCTCGCGGACCTCCCCCCCTCTCCCGCCATTCATCACCCGGAGCGCTCGGATTAGAATCCACCTTTATACCCTATTGTACATAAAATGTTTCATAAAAATATAAAAACGAAGTAAACTGCAAAATCCTTAATATATTTTATTATGTTATTTAAGACATAATATCTTGTCTTCATGAAACATTAACAATAATTTTAAATTTCAAGCACTCATCTAACAATAGAGCGAGTTCAGATGGGCGTAGCATATTAACATATATAGGATGAGTAAAAAGTCCCAAACTGGTGAAATATCTCGAAAACTAAGCATTTCCAAAAGAAATGTTTACTACAAAAGTCGTAGGGTTTTAAATGATCTATTCACTGGACAGTTGATCTTGGGTGGCGTCGCTAAGGTCAGGTCAAGATAACATTGATTTTTTTTAATGGCACACCCTATTTTTTATTCCAATCTAATAACTAATGTCGAGAGCTTTTCAAAACGCTATAAGAAAATATTTTTTCATCAAATACTTTTTGAGTTATGATGTTGAAAGTTACCGCTGGTATTAGCATTACTCAAGGTGTCCGACCGACGGTTAAAACCTCTCGAATGTTGTTCAGGATCATGTTTTGGATATCATTTGTCAAGATCAAGGCCATTGAAGATTTTTTCTCTTATTTTCATTTTTGCACTGAAAATTCATTTTTACGTAAAAATGAAAATAAGAGGAACAACTTCCAATAACCTTGATGTAAAAATGTGCCATTTAAAACAATCGATGTGACCTTGACTTGACTTTGACAATGCCACACAAGGTCAGATTGCCCAGATCAGTTAATAGATCATTTTAAACCCTACAACTTTTGTAGAAAACATTTCTTTTGGAAATGCTTAGTCTTCGAGACATTTCACCGATCTGGGATTTTTTACTCACCCTATACATACATAATACACCGGGTGTTCAAAATAAAGTTACAGATAAAGTTACAAATTTTTAACTCGAAAACACGGCATTATTGAGTAAAATTATTCAGACAAAAGTTGTAGGGTACGAAAATGTATATTTATTGATCTTATCAGTTTGATCTTGGATGGCGTCGCCAAGGTCAGGTCAGGGTCACGTCGATTTTTTTAAATGGAACATCCTTTTGTTTCCAGAATTTAGTAGCTGATGTCGAGAGCTTTTTAAAACATTATAAAAAAATATATTTCCATCAAGTACTTTTTGAGTTATGATGCTTGAGAAAGTTACAGTACCGCCGGAATCAGCATTATCCAAGGTGTCCGACCGACGGCTAAAACCTCTTGAATGTTATTCAGGATTTTATCTTGGATATCATTTGTCAAGATCAAAGCCATTGGAGGTTGTGCCTCTTATTTTCATTTTTGCGTAAAAATAAATTTATAGTGCAAAAATGAAAATAAAAGGAATAATCTCTAATGGTCTTGAATTTAATGAATGTTATTCAGGTAATGATGCTGAACAATATTCAAGAGGTTTCAGCCATCGGTCGGGCACCTTTGGTAATGCTAATGCCGGTGGTACTGTAACTTTCAAGCATTCTAACTCGAAAGTACTCAATAAAAAAGAACTTTACTATAGTGTTTTGGAAACCTCTTGACATCTCGATAAAATCAGTAAATATATCTTTATGAAAAATTCAAAAATAGTCTCACAACTCGGACTAATGAGAGTCTAACGCTGTTCTTCAGGCGTAGAGAAAAAAATCTAGATGTACTTCAAATAGTCATCCTTCTTTAAGGAGGTTGTAAGGCAAATGTAATACATTAAGAACTACTTGAAAAAATTACAGACTTCTAAATTTCATTTAATAATAATACAAAAAAAAATAGAAACAATTGACCATCTGGATCAAAAGTTACTTAAATAAGTAGTAATATTTTTTAAATTTGTACTCTAATATAAATATATGAAAATGTATTATAAAATAATGATAGAAATTTCAATTTTTTAATATAAATACTCTAGGAATTCAACAATATTTTTGTAAAGTTTTCTTGAGATGCAGACATTAATTGTTCAGTAAATAAATAAAATTTGTTATTTGTTATAAACTAATGGTGAATCTCAATGAAACTTTGCATAAGTCATGTTTAGTACTAAATATATTTATATAAAAAAACATTTAGATTTTTCTTATTATGTAAAAAATTTTTTTTTATAACAATAAAACTAATAACAAATAAAATAAATAACCTATAAAAATGTGTTGCTCAATAAAACCAGAATGTTATGAACACAACTTTCACATGTATGTAGTTTGTTTAAAGCGAAAGTATTAATATATGTGTTTTATGCCCTTACAACCTCCTTAATCACATGAAATTACATTCGAACGTTTCGACTCACTTTGGAGTCTTCATCAGCGAAGAAAATTACAAGAATTAGAAATTCTCCGTTGAGAGTCAGTCACTACAAACTACGATATCTGTTGTACTCTGCATTCTATATAAGAAAAGAATAGAAAAAACATGTAAAAGGAAGTACTCTACATTCTATATAATGAAAGAATTGAATCATGTAAAAGAAATTACAACCAAATTGATCAATCTCAAGTGACTCACCTCAAACGAGAAAACACCAAAAGCTCAACAAAAATATATTCCATTCTTTATAAAAGTAACCCGCTCGCAATTATATATATAACCATAAATTAAATCACAAAATTATGTATTGTCCGAAAAGTATGTATTGTCATTTGAAATTGGAACGTTAAATGGTAAGGACATTCTTAATACAATGAGATAAATAGAAACAAGACTACCATCTCTAACAACAAGTCACATTTTCAATGTTGTTTAAAATTATCCAATAAGGAGGTGTACGAATAAAGTAAAAATTCAGTGTCTGTTTTCAAATTAAGACCATTTTTTTGCATGTGAATATGCAACATTTCCGAGTTCAGTCTTTTATTGAGAAATCTCTCCCTATCAAGAATTTTGACACGATCCCAATCATTCATGATTGAATTTAAGACGGTGATTTGTGATCACCGATTGGTTACTACTAATTCTATTAATATGGTTGCGATGCTCCGAAATTCTGGTTTTTAATTTTCTGCCTGTTTGGCCAACATATGTTGCATCGCAATCTTTCCAGAAAATTTTGTAAACGACATTCTTATTGATGTATTTTGGAAGAATGTCCTTCTGTTATATACTCTAATAAATTTTTTAAGTTTATTCAAACTAAAAAATGATAATTTTATATTGCACTTCTTCACCAAGAAAAAGAATTTCTCTGATAACTTTGGAACATAAGGTAAAACAAACCAATTTGTGAGTTCTTCCTTAGAATTATCCGAACTTACTATATTGTCCACTTTTGTTGTTAATTTATGACATAATAATTTTATACGTGAATTGATCGCATTGAAAATAAATTTAATCGGATATCATTATTCAATAACGTATTAATTACAAACTTCAGATTTTTATAATGATACTTAGGATTTGAGAATAAAAAAGCTCTGTCAACCATTCCCGTCAACCACACCCTTCTTCTGTGACAATGGATGTGCAGAAAGATAATTTAAATAGCATTCCGAAAAGGTAGGTTTATGGAACCAGTCAAACTCGAAAACTCTTTTCTCATTAGACAAAGTTATCAGAGAAATTCTTTTCCTGGTCAAGAAGTGCAATATGAAATTATCATTTTTTAGTTTGAATAAATTAAAAAAATTTATTAGAGTACAGAAAGACATTCTTCCAAAATACTTCAATAAGAATGTCGTTTACAAAATTTTCTGTAAGGATTGCGATGCAACATATGTTGGCCAAACGGGCAGAAAATTAAAAACCAGAATTTCGGAGCATCGCAACCATATTAATAGAATTAGGTAACCAATCGGTGATCACAAATTACCGTCTTGAATTCAATCATGAACTTGATTGGGATCGTGTCAAAATTCTTGATAGGGAGAGATTTCTCAATAAAAGACTGAACTCGGAAATGTTGCATATTCACATGCAAAAAAATTGGTCTTAATTTGAAAACAGACACTGAATTTTTACATTATTCGTACACCTCCTTATTGGATTTTAAACAACATTAAAAATGTGACTTGTTGTTAGAGATGGTAGTCTTTGTGGCAGCCACCGAGCGCCAGCC